TCTGTTGCTGTGCGTCACTGGTCTGGCCTGGCCTCCTTCGGCCACAGGCTCTGGCTGAGGTGTCTGTATTACACACACACACACACACACACACACACACACACACACACACACACACACACACACACACACACATCAGCACTGACCAGTCTGTCATTGCTGCTCAGCCCTGCGGACACAGGTGACGTGTGACGAGCATGAAAGCAGGCCGAGGAAAGAATGTGTGTCAGTGGGGATGGAAAAGAGGCAAATATGACGAGGCTCTTTGTGTACCCGGCCTTGATGAGGTTCAAACAGGTCTCACTGCTGAAGTAAAGCCTCACCTGCTGCTGTGTGTGTGTGTGTGTGTGTGTGTGTGTGTGTGTGTGTGTGTGGTGAGCATGCCTGGTTGTCATGCTCAGCACTGCTCAGCGCAGCAGCACACAGCATGGCGCTACCTCCTGCATCTCCTGAAAAAGCCCACTTTTCACTCTGCACAATGCAGCCTTTATATACGGCCCCCATAATGGAGCCAGCTCCTTCACTCATGTCCTCATTGTCTTGGCCAGGATGAGAAAAGGCTGCTCTTTAGAAAAGCAAGGCTGAGCTCACCCGTGAATCATGCCAACAGTTACGCTTGTTCTCTGCCTACTTCTGTAAGTGAGGCAACCAGGGGAAGAGAGACAGGAGTTTTCTAGACCCCCCACCCCCCCACCCCTTTCCTTCTAAATGCAGTGATGCTCGGAGGTTTACTGGAGCCTGGAGGGGTCACGGAGAGGTTGCGACCTTGCTTTTCCTGTTTCCGTGTGTGGCCCAGACAGCAGTCACGCTGTGGCAGGGATGGTGGATGTGGTTTGATGGGTTCATCTAGCAGAAGGGGGACATTTGCGCAGACCTCCGCAGTGATGTTAGCTTGTAGTGTGCTGCCGTGCGGGTGGTGGTTCCTCACAGCAGGAACTCTGGTCTTACCCTTTCAGCAGCCCTCTGTTCATCATCAGCACAGTTACACTTTGCTCACGGCTACAGCAGGAAAAGGACAGAATCCATATGAAGCATATGCCTATTGTCACCACTGCGGCATCCATAATGCTTCAACCTCCCCCCACCCCTCTCCTCTTTATCCTGCATCCACCCCTCTATCGTCTGTTTGCTGTACTGCCAGGAAAACAGAGGTGGAAAATACAATTTAGCATACAGCTGGAGATAGTCTGTAATGTGAGGGTCTTGTTATGGTGAGTATCGATGGCTGGTTTAGGAGATAAAAAAATGCAAACATGATCGAGGGGGGTGTGGGGTGGGGGCTGGAGTGAAAGGGGTGTTGGGGTTGCTATAGGGTGTGAGATGGAGAGGGACAGAAAATCAGCATGCATGCAGTCTCCTGCTGTGCTCTGCATTATCAACATGGAAAAAGCAGCGGGGTTGCTGTGGCAACAAATCCCGAATCAGCGCGGCGCTCGGACCCTTCCACTCCACCCCAGATTCCCCCCTTCCCCCTTCTTCCCTCCTCCTCCTCTTCCCTGGCCACCTCCCAGCGGCTCTGGAGCTCAGACCTCAGACCGGCCTACTTAGGAGAGCAAGGACGAGGCTCGGAACAGGGATCATGTCCAAAGCTCCACACTCGATCCCAGAGCAGAAACGTGGGCCAGTGGATACGGGAGCACAGTAGACACCCCCCACCCCCCACCCCTCACCCCTCCTCCTTCTTCTGTCTTCTGCTGTTGTTAACTATCCATGAAGCTTTCAGAAAGTGATTTGTATCCTCTCAGTGTGCTGGACAGTAGGTCATATCCCGGTTATTTATGAGAGGTTAATGTGCCCTCTCGTATCTCCATCATATACATTCATAAATTAAGATGGGGTCCTGGATATTACCATGGAAACTGAGGAGAGATTGACTGCAAACGCCAGCAGTAAATGGCCTGTCAGTTTGTCCCAATTAGGTGCCATGTTATCCTGATTTGAGTTTGTCACAGCAATTGTAAACACAATATATTGTTTTTATCTGGCTGCAACTAATGATGATGTTCATTATTGATTAATCTGTCAATCTGTTAATGATTAAGTCTATGCAAAGTCAACAGACTAGTGAAAACAACAGGTTCTTAAAGCCCAGAGTGACTTTTTGTTGTCCTTTTCACAATGATATAAACAGAGGGAAGCAACAAAGCATCACATTTAAGAAGCTGGAACAAGCAGCTATTCAGCATGTATATATTAGTAAACGACCGAAACAACTTTTGATGGGTGAGTTATTTCCTTCAGTGCACCCTTCAACAGCTGTGAATAAATAGTTTTCAGTCAGAGTTATAAGTGTACCCTCTCTATCTGGCGCACATGTTGCAGGCTGTGTGTAAGGCTGCCGCGGGAGTGTGGGTAACGCAGTGAGCTGTTCAGTAGATGACAGACTGCTTGCCCATGCTGGAGCTGATGTGTCATGAGGCGGAACTGACTGATGTGAAGCTGCTATGACAGCTGAGTTGACATTCTGCCTCATCTCGGTTCCTGGAATAATTAGATTGATTGTTGCTTGACAAAGAGCACAGAAGGGAAGAACGTATAAATGTGGGATGAAAGCTGTGTAAGACAAGATCACCATGTGAACGTGTATACACTGACCAGGCCAAATTGAAAAATGAGGCTGTAGTTGAAAAAGAGAGTGTCTCATCCCCTGTATGTGAAGGAGGTGGGACACTTAAAGACAGATCACGGCTTGTCGACAGGTCTTTGGCAGTATAATGTGAAAAAAAGTTGCATAAATCCATTTGTGGCTCCAGAGGGATCAGTGTGAAATCTGACAACCTCAGGTGATGTCACTTGAGTCAGCATAAATTGGGTCTGAAAACTACCTTAACGAACCTAAATCTCTCACCCAACTGTCTGTGGTTGAGTTGCATTATAGGAAAAACAGGCGATAGGTTTTGAAAATGATAATGCAGAATAAAAAAGCTGATATCTGTGGTTCTGCCACATTGATTTAGATCATGCCCATGTTGTCGGAGTGCAGTGTGAAATTGGTGCAATCGAAAACCCTTTAAATTGACCCTATTTGCCAAAGTGAAACTTTAATGTTGGATACGCACTCTTCTCCTCTTGCAAAACATGTGCTGCCTCTCTAATCATTTTTGATAGCCTGATCAAACCAGGAACTTCACGGCTCCATGATGTTTGTCCTAAACTCCTCAAACAGGAAACTGGATCCAGGGATATTCCAGTTCAGATTTTTCAGATATCTCACTGCTGTCTGAAGCTGTGAACGATGTGTACTTCATCAAGTTTCCTTCTGTAGTTTGCATGCTCCAGATCTACAGTTTAATATTTCGTCTTTGCTCTGTCCCAGTTTGCTTTGGACAGGAGCCCAGTTCAGACAGACGGCTGCTGCTGTCCACTGTGTGCAGGGAACAGAGAACAGGCTCACTGCCTCATAAAACTCTGTGTACAAACTTTTTAAACCAGTCGCTGTAGCTCTAAGATGATTCAGGAGCTGCATGGCCTATTTCTCACCCTAGATTTTTTTTAATGGGCTTTTCTTGTGAAAGAAAAATTTTGAAACCAAGCCACCACGGTTTTAAACCCATTTCTCTGTTGTCATGTTTTCAGACTCCATTATTGTGACTTTTTCACTTCTCTGACCTGTTTCAAGTCGAATCTGATTTGCCAGTTTCAGCTCATGCCTAGTAATTAAAAGCAAGTTTGATTATCTGTTAATCAATGAAGTCATCTGTCAAGAGCAAACGCCAAAACATTTGTTTTTTTTCCAGCTTTTCAAATGTGAGAATTTGCTGATTTTCTCTGCTTCATATCTTTGTAAATTGAATACATTTGAAGAAACTTCGGGAATATAAAAAAAGGCATTTTCACGAATTTATGAAATTTTAGAGGAACTATTAATTACATTTTTTAAGAAAATAATTGTCAGTTGCAGCCATATTTTGAGACATGAACTTTGTAGTCTGACATGCTTACCCTGTTTTGATTTACACAATCACACAGGCAAAAAAAAAAAGTGTGAGTCAGGGTCACGTTTAGAAAGCAGCTCTAGTTTTCAGTCATACTGAAGGCGACGACTTGATGCGTCTCTGGACAAAGTTCGTGTTATGAGTGATATTTGGAAGACAAAAGGCTGTCACTGGGGAAAAGTTGACAGCCAGCGAGACCTTAGGGGCTGTACTGCTCATGTGTTTTCATGTCTGCTTTTACTCATCATCATCGTCATCATCATCACAGACAGACACAGGTCCAGGCTCGCAGTTGTAGAGTCATGATCTCTACATTGAGGTCACAGGGAGAGGCTGCATGTAATCTGCTCCTGCCAAACATTATCTTCTGTCTTGATTTGAAACCCTTTTCACACAAATTCTCTCTCTCTCACACACACACACACACACACACACACACACACACACACACACACACACACACACACACACACACACACACACACAGAGAGTCTAGCTCTCACACTCAGTCACTCTCATGCACACAGTAAATGCAACTGGAATGTGTGATGTGGACTCAGTGTGGCCTGGGCTAGTCCTGCTCCATTCAGCAGCAAATCCCCCTGGTTTAGGATTTGCTTTTATAGTTCGGTGTGCCAGGGACTGCACTCTAAACTCAGCCGTAAGAATCTCTCACCAACTTGTCATGTTTTCCCACAGGGAGGAATGTAAAGTAATGTGCCTGAATGAGCTGAGTCATAATTAACGTCAGAGTGCTGATTGGTCCGTGTCTTTGTTCGCTCAGTCAGAGGCCTGGTGATCTAACCGTGTCTTTTGATTTCAGTTTAGCTCTTGATGTGGGATTGTGAAACATGGCTGCAGGTGGATGAGGTGTTTTGTCTTGAATCAAGGGGGTTTATATTCCAGATTTTGAAATGTTATGGTCCACATCATAGAGTGAATATTCTCCTGTAGCTAAAACAAGCTGTATCTCTTCTTATCCTTGTCTTACATGTGTTACAATCACAACTCAAATATTTATTTATTATACTTTTTTTTTAAATTTAAACTTTTTGTCAACCTCAGGCCTCCCCTTCCCGAGAGCTCCATGGAGAAGATGAAGCGGTTCAAGAGACGCCTCTCACAGACGCTTCGAGGCAGCCACACCATCGACGAGTCGCTGTCTGAGCTGGCCGAGCAGATGACCATCGAGGAGAACGGCCTGAAGGACAGTGGTGAGGTTTTTGCAGCGACTGTAAATGTTATGTGTAAAGTGGAATGGAAAGAGCTGCTGTATCCGGAAGTATTTTTTCATCTCTGTAAATTTCTGTTAGTTCCTCAACATAATAACACGAATCTCCTGAATAATGATGATGTTTGTTTCATGGTCATGACATTGAATTATTTCAGCTTGCATCACTTTGGTATGGCAAATGGCTCTAAATACTACAATACCCATGAGCCTCAGCTAATGCTGCTATGGAGGACAGGCCAGTCAGAGGTGCAAATTCAGAATGTTTGTTGTGTTATAAGGTAAGGGCTTTTTGGTATTCATAAGGACTAGGTGATATGGTGATAAGGACTGTTGTCTGTGAATGTTTTATACACTCAGTTGCCAGTTTATGAGGTACACCTGTCTGAAACTCATGCAGTCTAATGCAGTAAATTCCAATTTCACAAAGGCTATAATGTTCATTTTTGGCTGAAACTGTTTTAGAGAGACATTGATTGAACTTCAGTCATTTTGGCAGCTACAGTTACAATGCTTGAATTGTATCACATTATAATGAGAATTTTTTTTTCTCCTTCATTTATATCAATAAGTGTAGACTAAATATTAGAAACACTACTACTGTATTGCAGTACAGTTCACCATGATCATACAGTTGAATCAACACCTCTTTAACACAGTTTCAACAGAAACCAAACATTTTAACCTTCATGTAGGTTGGATTTATTGCAGGGTTGTTGTATTAGATTGTATTTGAGGTAGTTCTTCTTAATTGGCCCTTAGAGGTCTCATTTGATTTCCCTTAAAATTTTCCATAGCAATGTATATATGGATAGTACAACAGATAATGTTATGTAGTGCTGTGACAGAAGATTTTATACATGTCACTGACTACACATTCATATTCTTTATTACATAATTCTTTTTTACATTTTCTGACAGGACCATGAGCAGAGCTGCAATGCTCATGTGATCTTTGGCTCCTGATACATTGAGCGTGTGTTGGTGATTTCTGACAGGTTGCAGCAGTTGTGGATTTTAAAATTCTGCAGTTGTCTCCATCAGTGAATAAATAATATACATTACAGTCTAATCATTATTTTGGCGGACAAGTGACTCAAGGTTTTAGTTAAGTTTATCTGACACAGGGAAGGCTCCCGGTCACACATATCTATGAAATGTGAAGGATAAAACAATAAAGTCCAAGGCTGTTTATTTATATATAACACCAGACTAACATGTAACATTTCCAGCACATTTATGTAATGAAGTGCATGACTAAAATAGGATTTAGTAGCTGAATTTTGATGGACTGCATACATAGAGTACTTTTATCCAAGGCCAAAGCCAAATCCAAATTTTATCTAACGCTGACCCAGAATCAGTTAAAATGCTGAATGTTTTATTTTAGGTTTCTAGCAACTAATTTTTAACTTCAGCTCTCCATTAGCAGCACACTCAACAGGATTTTAGACTTGATGGCTGGATATTTCTTAATGAAATGCACCGATTGAGTTGTGGCTGACATTTGTTGTTAAGCTTTTATGTTCACAGTCTTGACGTTTTATCACAGAACCAGATATTTTCTAAAAAAGCTGTTCTTATTTTACACTGTTCATTCAGCCGGGGGAGTTTTCATGTTCATCCAACTGTTGATAATCCTTCAACTGCCTGTCACTTAACGTTGACTGTTGAGAAAATCCACTTCTCAACTTTGTATTGACTATGGTCAGTCCATGTGACATAACTCTTTATTTACTTTTCTATACATACACTCATACATATTGTAGTTGGTTACATCAGTCTCTTGGACCCCAGTGAAGGTTGTGGTGCTCAAGGCGTCAAAATAAAAGCATAGTGGCACAGCAGCTTATCTCTGCTGATATTCACTAAATCTGCAGGGAGCGAGGGAGGGAGCATGCCTTGGTGTGCCACCACATAGTTGCCATGGCACTCAGGGTCTGGAAACATTCTAGAGTTTCCATGACATCGCCACGGCGACTTGGATGACTTGGTGAAACCAGCCAGGCATCTTGATGCATCCCCCCTTCCGTTGTTTTTTTTTTTTTTTTGCATCTTTCAGCTCCTCTTCTTCTCTTTTGGCCCCAAGTTCTCTCCCAAGCTTCTTTCAGGCTTGTCCTCAGTTTCCTCTCTTGTCTTTTGTCCAAATGAGAAGTTTTTTTCTCCCCCTTCTTCAATCAATCAGATCGTCCAAGTCTGCCCCCCCTCCCCACTTCCCTCTGAGAACTAACTGGGCTTTGTAAAGAGCTTTTTGTGTAGTGATTAACACCAGGTTTGGCCAGAGTGTTCTGTGCTTAGTGAGTGGGGACACAGAAACATGTCGCGTTTGTGTGTATGTGTGTGTGCGTGTTAGTGTGTGTGTGTGTTAGTGTGTGTGTGTGTGTGTGAGAGCTTGCGTGAGGGGATTTTAGCAGCCTGTGTAACAGTAAGTGGGGTAGAGAGGAGACAGAATGGAGTAGCCAGATGAGATGTGATCTGAACTCTGATTGGGGAATGCGTTGTGGTCCTGATCTGATTATGTAACATATATAACTCAGGCCAGCAGCAGCAGCAGCTGCACAGAGATAAGAGAGAGGTGGCATAAGGACCTGGATATTACACGGGGGCTGTGTATTTTTCTGTTTTCACAGGAAATCTAGGAAACGCTTCATAAACTGTGCAAAGGTTTGAGAGGATGCTTTCAAAAATAATGCAGTGAATATTCTTTTTACCATACAAAGTGCACTAAATGGAAAAGAAATGAATCAAATCAATATTTGGTGTGACCACCCTTTGCCTTTAAAACAGCACCAGTTCTCCTTTGCACACTTGTGTTTCTGAGGTACTTGACAGGTAGGTTGTTCCAAGTATCTCGGAGAACTTGCCACAGTTCTTCTGTGGGTCTGGCTCAGTTCTTCTGTTTCTTCATGTGATCCCAGACTGACTCCATGAGATCAGGGCTCTGTGGAGGCCAGACCATCTGCTTCAGGACTCCTTGTTCTTCTTGTCTCTGAAGATAATTCCTTATGACTCTGGCTGTGTGTGTGTGTGTGTGTGTGTGTGTGTGTGTGTTTGGGTTGTTGTAGTTGTTGTCGTGCTGCAGAATAACGTTTCCCTGATGGTGTTGCGTGATGAATAAGAATCTAAACAACCAAACTGCCTAAAGCGTTTGCACAGTAATGCACTTCTAAGTCAGTGTTGATGTGTCAGTGTGTGCAAAACAAAACAACAAAAAAAACCCCCACAAATTTGTGACACGGCTCATAATTTAGAACATACCAAATATTCAATTTTTAGACATCTGTGACATCTGTGCTGGCGAAACGATTACACAGTCAAATCTGTTTTTGTAGCTCAACAAGACCTGAACACCCTCTGTACTCTGAATCAGCTTCAAAAAGGCAGCCCAAGTCTTGTGAACTTAATTTTCATGATAAGATTTAAGTCCGAGAAACACAGAGAATTGGTTGACCCTGGAGACTGAAGCCAGACAAATCACTGAGCTGTGGGGGTAATTTAGGTGATGACGTGGCTCACTTACTCTCAAAGCTCACAAATCTTGTTAAGTATTCATTATAGACAATGTAGATATAAAATGACGCATGACCCTGCAACTGCATATCTTATTTCCTGCCTCTGATTTGTTTAAGTTTAAGATAAGTTTGACAGTTAACAGGTGCCATGTTTTTTTTTTTCCCAGCTTGAAAATCATGGTCAGTGGCTGATGACAGCCCCAGTCTGGGGTGAATTTGTCTAATCAGGTGTAGGAAGGAAAGTACATTCATTCATTTATTACAGAGCCCCAAGCTAATACCTACTGAGGCGAGGAAGACTGCAGTCACTGAACCAAAATGCAGTGTTTCAACTTTCAGTGAAAAATATGAAAATATTTTGAATATTATCCTTTCATTAAGTTCACATCCCACAACTTTTAAAAAATATCTGTCCACAGTCTGTATGATTCCTTTTTTGCCCGATTCTCTTGTTTTTGGAGAAGGCTCTATGGATAAAATCCTCCATCACAGTGTCCATTTTAGATCTGCAATGATAAGATGATTAATCGGATCGTCAATTAATCATTTTGAGTCATCAAAATTCTCTGGTTGCAGCTTCTCAAATGTCAATATTTTCAGGTTTTTTAGTCTTTTATGATAATAAACATCTTTGGGTTTTGAACTGTTGGTCAGACAAAACGTCACCTTTGGCCCTTGGACATTGTGATAGGCACTTTTTTTTTTTACGTTTTATAGACTGAACGATTATTCAGTTAATCAAGGAAGTAGTCGACAGATGAATTGATAATGAAAATAATAGTTAGTTGCAGATCTACAATTTTTATGTTGTGGTATCGGTCAATATCTACATACAACAGATTTAGTGGATTGAGAAATTGTTAATAGATAAAATGAGCAGAGAGGTTAATCAAATCAAAGTACTTCACAATCACACTGAAATAAAAATCATCTAAAAAAATCACGTATAACCCATACTGCCTGTTGGTTAGCAATATTGCTCACAATGGCCTGATACAACCAGAGGCATTAAAGCGTTAGCTTCCATGGTATAGGGTTCAACTTGCCCATCCCTCACTTGTTCCCATCGCTGTTTCAGACGTATGATATGAGCTGGTTCCAGTCTCTACTCACTAACTCTGACCACTGTTCCAAAGAGGCATATATGTGTGGACTGTAAACCTTGATATGTGTCAAATATTACTCTGATCATACACGTGAAGTTATTAGAAGTAAAAGCACTTGTTCATTCTCTCCGACAAACTGATGTACATGCTCCGTAGCCATGTTTTTTTCTGTGATGAAATTATTGACTCTATAGCTGTTGCCTTATGTCCCGTCCTAATCCTCACTGTCCTTGCTGCACGTGTCCTACAGTATCCCTCTGTCTGAGCTCCGACTGTCCCGCTAAACTGCTTCTGTGGGGCTCAGCCCCCCCCTACAGTCACAGTCTGTGTTTTAGTCACTGCTGAACAAATCCCTCACCTCTGTTAGCTCCATTCTTGATTTTAAACAAAGTGCTTTGTTTTTCTCTCAAGACGAATGACACACCATGGACTACAAGTCATTTTGTTTACATACTAAGCTCTCTCACTTATGATTTACAGTATAAGTGATACACTGGTTGAGAGAACAGACCACATTGTGGTCAGCTCTGTTTATATTCGTCTGGCCCTAGTTTCAGTGTAGGAATGTGAATTTCAGGAAAAATCAAAACACATAAGGATCAGATTGCATCAGATCACACTGTTTGCTTTTAACAGCCAGGGTAAGAGCGGTTACTTAGTAACTAGATCGTGCGTTGTTTTATTGTGTTTTCAGGTGTGTTAAAAATGTGACAATATCACAAATTCTCATTTTATATTTAGTACCCTAAACTATTGCTTTACAGAACCTAAGCTAATGTATAATCTGTTGTACAACAATGCACCTGTTTCCTTCATCTGTCCTTTACCTTTCTCATCAGTTCACTGCTCTGTCGTGCTGTTTCACGCTTTTCATCAGCCTCCCTCTGCTCGACACGTTTTGTCTCTTCTCTAAACCGTGATAAAGAAAATTAAAAATTCAGTGTTCTTAAATAAAATCCATTTATAGAAACACACGCCTTATCTGCTACAGTAATGGTTTACCATGCAATTGTATATCTTACTAAGTCATTGCAGTTAATACATCACATGCACTATAGATTAAGAGTTAAAACCACTTATGTAACGATAGTGATTATTTTATGCAGTCTGGTGTGGAACCAGTCATGTGTAGCCGCTGCATCAGAAAGCTTTTAGTCAGTTCAACAGTCGGTACTCCTCAGAAATCCTCACTGTCTGCCAATCATCATGAAAAAGTTAAAGAACTGTCGGCCGTTCTTTTTAATCACTAGCCCTCATACTTTAGAAAAAGCAACAACAACAAAAGCACAAGCATATTATAAATCTGAAGTAGAGAATAGTAGGATAGACAAAGTCATAGAACTTACAACTTGTAGAAAAAATAATCCATTATGTGCATTTTAGCAGAAACTCTAATCCGACTTGTGCAGGATTTTTGAGGCCACTACTATTTATCTTCGAGAGGCTGATACATACACTCCAATCAAGGCCTTTCTCCCCTGATTGCTCCGTTTGGCTGGGCGGCCTGCTCCACGTACAGTCTTGGTTGTTCCAAGAATTATGGAGGCCACTGTTCTCTTGGGAACCTTGAGTGCAGCAGAAATGTTTTTGTAGCCTTGCCCAGATCTGTGCCTCGACACAATCCTGTCTCTGAGCTCTGCAGGCAACGACTTGTTTTTTTTGGTATACATTGTCAGCTGTGAGACCTCATACAGACAGGTGTGTGCTTTTCCAACTCATGTCCAATCAGCTGAATTGATCAAACTCCAACCAAGGTGTAGAAACATCTCAAAGATGATCAAGAAAAATGGGAGGCACCTGAGCTAAATTTCAAGTGTCATAGCAAAGTGTCTGAATACTTATGTCAATGTGATATTTCAGTTTTCCACAGTTCCGTTTTCACTTTGTCAGATTGATAAGTATTGATGAGGGAATTATATATATATATTTTTTAGCATGAGGCTGCAACATGACAGAATATGAAAAGATGAAGGGGTCTGAACACTGTCTGTATAATTGCATCAGTAGTATCAAAGCTACTGCTGACCTTATTAAGTAGTCCTGATCTACATTAATTATAGTTCCTTGTGTCATTATAAAATTCAGTGTTTCTGCTAGCAGTCACAGCCATGTTCATATGTTCAGTCAACCATAGAGATTAAAAACATGCTGTGTCTCTCCTGCAGAGCCCATAGTGAGGAACGGTCGTCCTCCGTCAGCACACAGCGTCCACTCCTTCCTTCACCAGTACACAGGCTCCTTTAAAAAGCCGCCGCTGCGACGACCTCAGAGCGTCATTGGAGGAGGCCTGGGGTCTCTCATGGTCATGCCTCGCAATGGCAGTCGCCTTGGTGAGAGACACACGCACACACACTTATCCACATGCACACAGGCCGTGATTGCGTTCGATATTTGTCTTTGCTGTGATAGAGGTTTAAGTCCAGGAGATGTCTTTAGTGTCAGTAGGTAGGATCTGTCTCTACGGTGGCGTGATTTTTATTCAAGATTTAAATTTGGATGTGAGGCTGCTCGAGCTAGCTGTTGAATAGCTCGAATAAATGTAGAATATCCTGAAAGCATGAGTCAGCTGAGTCTGATATATTATGTGTGAAACCATGTGCTGAAACACACCATTCCTAGAGGCATATGTTAGTGCGGACACATGAATAAATATCAGGTCCGTCATTCCAGTTGTTACGTTCAGTCAGACAATTTGTAAAAAATAATGACACTCTAAAGCAAAGCGCAGCCCAGATGCACTATTTAAATTCACAGCATTTTCTAATATAAACAAACATAAAGCCTGGAGGAGACGGCGATCTGCTTTATATGTATGAAACCTGAGTTTGTTTAGACATGGAAAAATTACAGTGTGATGTATGGATCAGTCAAACTTATTAAACCTAATACTCCTCTTGTGTGTATCAACTGGTCGACACAGCCAGGAGCTCGATAAGAACAGCGGAGCTCGAGGAAGTGTTGTTCTTTCCACTTGAAGTCATCCGCTGCTGCTGAGCCCTGCCTTGTTTCCACAGACCTGCTCCATCTCTCAAACTCAAACCCTCATCCTCCCTTTCTCTCCCTTTGTTTTTCTTCCCCTCTCCGCTCCAGATATCGTCCATGAGAACCTGAAGATGGGGTCGGATGGGGAGAGTGACCAGGCGTCGGGAACTTCCTCCGATGAGGTGCAGTCGCCCACAGGCGTTTGTCTGAGGAACAGAGGGAACAGACGCATCTCCGCAGAGGTGAGATTTTCCTCCTCCGTGTGTTCAGACTTTCTTTGTCCTTGCATTGCCTTTGTGCTTTTTAAAAATCGATTGAGTGTTGTGGGATGTGAGTCACCGGCTACAATTAACAAGCGTTGACATTTGAGCATGTTACTGCTATGAATCGTGACAGTTATTCGTCTGGGGTCGTACCTGGCTCAGCGGTTCAGCCTCCACTTTGTCACTGAAGGTGTGTGTTAATTAATTCGCTGAGAAGCAAAAGAGCCTCGGCGTTTGACAAAAGGCTTTTTTTTTTTCAGCAAGAAAACACTATTTAATGATGTGTGCATTACGGCTCCACGCTGTAACTCAGCGTAGGCGTGTTTTCATAGTGTGTCATGACGCGCAAAAGTCCTCAGCTGCCTACGTAATCTCAATGTAAGACACACACACACGCACACTGACTCCACATACTGTACTTATGAACATACTTTTGAAATCTGTTTTATAAAGGTTTCACATTCGCCATCACCTCCACCCACTAAACACCCTCACATACTTACACACACACACACACACACACACACACACACACACACACACACACACACACACTGAGTCAGTCATGGGCAGCCAGATTTTGACATTCCTCTGGTGGTTACATAATGTCAACACATTATGGAAAGACTTCCCGTTGTGATTATTATTATTTTTTTGATGTTGTCTAAGAGGGATTTCATTTCACCACAAGCATTTTTTTTAATCCAGGGCATTTGAATGTGCATGTATTAAACAGAGAGCAGCGTTATCATTCAAAAATAATAAAGTTTTAACATTTGAGAACAAAAGCGAGCCACTGTAAAGAAGAAGTCAGCGTGGCTTGCACCATGTCATGCTGAGGTTGATTTAACAGAGCATATGGGAAGGCAGACGTGCACACAAATGGAGAACCTGATCAAGAGCGAAAGCTTTAATCCGGCTGGCTCGTAGGGACACATGAAAGGCAGCGTGAAGCAAGAGGAGAGATGACACTGCGGTGTCTTAAGGTAACAGATAAAGACAGATAAGTTGCGTTCAGTGGGGCTTCACTTGAATTTTCCAGATTTCTGACACTGGCTTGCATCAGATAGTTTCATAGGTTCCAGTTGGTATGATGCTTCTTTCATTTATTTAGTGTTCAACATAATCAAGAATTAAATCTGAAGTTTTGAACCTTAAATCTTAATCAATATAAAATACATCTTAAGGTGTGCTTTATGTTTCTGTAACAACATAAACAAAGGTTCTGATTTGATATTGACAGGATTTAGAATTTATTAAATGTCCTAAAATATCCACATTAAATTCTGTCTTTCTTTACAACAAAGCCAAGACTTGCTCCTTTAAATCCATCTTAATGGTTCCTAATGGGATTCTAGGGAATCAACTGGACAAGTGACTGTCCAGTTTCATAGCGACAGTGAGATAGTGAAAGTGAAATGTCAGTGAAGGTTTACACATTTTTATTTCCCTTTTTATTCAGTTCAACATCGTCAAACATAGAGAGGATTTGTTAGAGAAATAGATTTAAGATCATTTTACTGACTATTTTCTAAATGCTGTATTTGAATACAATAAAAAAAAAAAAAAAAAAAAAAAATTTTGAACTGTATGTTTTGTGTATTTTGAAGTGCAGTTGATATTGGCGTCTTGCCAGTGAACCACATGTTGCGCAGCACCTGCTCGGTGATCATGGGAGGAAAGGTCTTGTGGTTGAAGAACACACACTTCCTCTGACAGTGTTTATTGGTTGCTCTGATTGGAAGACTTCTTGGGTTTTACAAGCAGATACCAGTAACTACACAAACAAACTGAGCGCATGCAAGACAGGACGAAAAAAAAAAAACCCCAACCTTTAAACGTGTAGTTAAGCAGCTTACTCCACTTGGGGCTACCCGCACACAGAGACATGACACATCAGCTCTCGCTGTGTGTCGAGAGCATTTGCAAGCACTGCACCTCATACTTCCTGTGACTGTTTCACAACCAGTCAGAAGCATGTACACACACACACACACACACACACACACACACACACACACACACACACACACACACACACACTTTCTTGCAGGACGTCAAACACTCTGTGCATTGTTTGTGCTGGTATGAGCAGCAGGATTGACCGTAGCCTTGTCGTTCATGAAGTGATCCAACAGCGAAATCACTGTGTGGCTCCATTCTTTGTCTCTGTGCTGCTGCGACACTCAGATTACTGGCGGTTGAAGAGGCACCGGAGGAGGAGGAGGAGGAGGAGGAGGAGGAGGAAGGAAGTGTAGGAAGAAGAGTGAGGAAGTCCCTCTGTCTGGGGTCAGGTAGTGGATTGTCCTTCTCTTGCTGCAGAGGAAGCAGTGCTGTTTTGGGATTACATCACAAGGATTACTTTAATACGGTCCAGATGGGCCCCCGTTGTAACAGATTAGGCTGGGTTGATTGGACAAGTAGGGGAGGGTGGGGGGTGCAAAGGTCAGGTGATGGATGGCATCACTTGCTCTGAGGACCAACCACCAATCCTGGGCCTGCACACAGACACCACGGAGCAACAAACTGGATGTTATGTTCAAAAAAAGAATACAGGCACAGATGTACGTTATAGCCGCCTGTGATCAAGCTGAGCAGCTGTTATTTATATGATGGATATTAAAGACTTTTTTCATTGTCGATTAATCTGCAATTAATCAATTATATTAACAAGTAATAACACCACATATTGACTTGAACTCGCTGTTGTTCTCTGTTTTATATCTTATAAAATAATCATTTCCAGGATTTGGGCTTTTAGTTGGAAAAAGAAAGCAATTTAAATACACTGCTTTGGCCCCTGGCCTCGTGTTTTGTTTTATTTTTCTATTTTGTGATATTTTATTGAATAAAGAAAGATAAATGAAAAAAATATGGACAGGTTTGTCAGTAATGACAATAATTGCTTGTTTCAGCCCTTCTTTTACATGGCGTCACCATGTATTAACAAATTTATCAACAAGCCCTTGCATTATGTCTCACTGTGTTTGCTCCAGTTGTAATTAAAGCATTAAATTCAGTGAACCATAGGTCTGAATGTGTCTGCTGTAGGCATCCAAGACAAAAAGCTGAGTCACCGTCATGGGTCACCCGTCCAGGAGTCAGTCGCCTTCGGTTACACATTTGTCAATGAGCTTGTTGTTGATATGTGGAAAGTTCAAAGTTGCATATTATTGTAATACAGTAGGGAGGAGTGGGGTGTTTGTAAGTGTCCAGTGTTACCTCATAGGGGGAGGAAGTAGATTTGAGAGAGAGAGAGAGAGAGAGAGAGAGAGAGGCCGGATTAACAATAATCTAACAAATAGAGGAAATGCATGATGGGAAGAATCCAGACGTATTGTGAGTGTGTTTGATTTTATATAACAAGTCATTAGGATCATGCTTTAGTACTTTGCTGCTCTGGGAAAGACTTTACCCTGAAGTCTTGAAGGCAGCTTTTATTATGTACACAAGTCTGCTGCACAAGACTGTATAGATGCATGCTGCAACACGTGTGTTTATACACACATATATACACTCACTGGCCTCTCTGTTGACCAGTGAGGCCTAACGCATGCTGCCTAATGCTGCTTCTTACAGATTCTGCTTGTTTACTCTGGGTCTCTGCCATTTTGTTGTCAATCAGTGGTATTTATTCAGAGCTTACGCTGTTTGCTGAGGGTTTACTCCTGTTTTTTTTAGGATTTTACAACGTGTTGACACTGTTTCTAAATTGCCTCTCTTGTTTTTTCCATTTCTGTCTGTGTGTGTGTGTGTGCGTGTGCGCAGGACCTGAACAAACGTCTGTCCCTGCCCGCTGACATCCGGATACCTGACGGTTACCTGGAGAAACTGCAGCTGAGCAGCCCGCCCTTCGACCAACCGCTGAGCCGACGCTCCCGAAGAGCATCACTGGTGAGGGGGGGGGTCTTAGAGAGAAAGATAAACTAGTTAACCTGTGAAAAAAGAGAGAAGGTGATGAAAAGACATAGAAGAAAAATTAGAAATTGATGGAAAGAGGTGTCCTGGTGATGGATGTTAAGGCACATACTATGTAACAGCATCAGTCCCAGTTTGATCACAGCCAGAGACGGTTTTTGCAGGTCAGACCTGTCCAGATCTTCCCCCATGTCTGTGTGTATACTGTCAACTGTCAGCTGTCTGTTAAAATGGGTAAAAAAAAAAGGCCAAAAAAGAAAGTGAGAAGTTGGTGGAGAGGAGTCAAAGTAGGGAAATCACCTCTCAGTTTTCCTACTGCTCTGTTGGCAAGCAAACTTCCTGCTGAAGTGCCCTCAAGCAAAACACTGATTCCCCAGGGGCGCCACGCTACTCTCAGAGCTACTCTCTGACTTTATAGCTAGGAGGGAAAAACAAAACAGATTTCATATCCTCATTAGTTGCATCATTGTACATAAAATGTCAAAAAAGAAACAGACTCAAATATCCATGTTACCTACGAAGAAGCTGAAGAAGCTGCAATTCCACAAGTAACACTTAAGTTTAGAAAGTAAAAGTCCTGCATTCAATTAATTCATTTTACTTAACTGGAAGTAGAGCTGAAACAATTCCTCAATGGACGAAAAATAATCTGCAACGATTTTGACAATCGATGAATCATTCAAGTTCTTTTTTTTTTGTGAATTGTTTTTATTGAGTTTCACAGTTTTTGCTGAACATAAAACAAGAACACCTTCAGGTCCATAGTTCATAATTCTCATACATTGATACAGACATGTAAACACAAAACAATAAAGATGTAAGGACAAGCTAGAAGTTAAGTAGAATGAATTATACACACAAGAGGGCACAATAACATAATACATGTCTACCCAGCTGACAAAATAAGATACAGAAGAAAACAATAATAAATGAATTTAAACGAGGGGAGAGAGATAAGAGGAAAAAAAAAAAAAAGTTAAAAATCAGCATTTGCTAAGTAACCTTTATAGGGATCCCAAATCCTTGAGAACAAGTCAGTTTTGCCGTTAAGTGAATATCTGATCTTCTCTAAGCTCAAAGACATCAATAGATCTCTAACCCAGTGTCTAAATAGTGGAGTGTCAGCGGATTTCCAGTTCAGAAGAATAACCCTTCTGGCCACTGCCCCACGCTGGGATCCAGATAGTGATGAGTTCACCTGTAAAACTCTGAATAGAGCAATACGCGGAGAGGGTTGGATATCTGTATGATGTATGTCGGAGAGACATTTAAATATCTTGTCCCACAGTTTAGCCACTGAAGGGCAGGCCCAAAATTGATGGTATAAGGAGGCAGGTTCAATCTTGCATCTAATACAAGTGGGGTCTAATCTTTGCCCTGGACCAATGAATCCGATGGAGTACTTTAAACTGTATAAGATGGTGTCTGGCATTAAAGGATGATGAAAATATAAGATCTAGCGCTCCATCCCGGGTATAATCATCTAATTCCCCTCCCATACCTGCACTCCAGGCGCCACTCACTCCCAACATCGAGGGGGTCTGAAGCTCAATAAGATTACTATATGTCTTTGAAAACACACCTCTTGAGATTTCAATCCTTTGGAAAATTGAAACAGTTACAGTGGGCAGAGGTTTAGTGGGGAAATTGGGAATATTTTTTCAAACCAAGTCTCTAACTTGAAGGTATCTAAAATAATGTTTATTTGGCAGATGATATTTGCTCTGAAGTTGGGTAAATGAGGCAAAAATATTATCAATATACAGATGTGAAAATGAACAAAGGCCTAGGGTGTGCCAAACAGCGAATGCATCATCACGTATAGGGCGGGGGGGGGGTACATTACGATGGATTGGGCCACACAGAGACGGGTTCAAGTCATTTTTTAATCAAAAAAGTCCTTGTTTCAGCTTCTCAATTATGAGGATTTGCTGATTTTCTTTGTTTCATTTGATTGAAACCTAATATTTTAAGATGTTAAAGTGCTGGTCAGGGAAAACGAGCCGTTTGATGATCTTACCTCAGGCTTTAGGAAATCGCGATGTACATTTTTCACTATTTTCTGACATTTTAGAAGCTGAACCATCGAGAAAATAATAATCAGATGAATCAAATGGAAACATTCGTCAGTTGCAGCTCTAACTGGAAGGCTGAAGTTACTAGTGATCACACCTGGTTTTGATATTAAAATAAAAAAGGTTTAACTGTGGAAGAATAGCTCAATAAAATGAAATTGCATTTCAGAATAATTGTCATTAATTCATATGTGAATTGCAGAGAAAACTGGGGCTGTGGACGATTCAGAGGCTTTAAAGAATTATTCTTATAAGACTATTATGTAATTGATGCATTTTGTGTAACTCCATCAGTGCCTTGTTTTTATGATTTTATGTAGGTGTGTGAGCAATAAAAATAACATCCTCTGACACACTTTACGTAATTCTGTTTCCTGATATTGATCTATATTGACATCCCTTGGTATTTTCTAAAAATCGACTGAGAAAGAGTTTGTGTCTGTTTTTGACAAATCCAACTAACAGACTTGCTGAAAAATCAGACATTCAACACATTAAAACATAAAGAAGTCCTGTTCAATGATTTTCCTAATATGGGCTAATACACACAGAGTTTCTAAAGGGAGAGCTACCTCAGAATAAGCTGTGTGGCAAACTGACAGTAGACTGGTGTGTATCGACTCATGATATACAGTTTATCATATCGCAGCAGCCGTCGTCTTAACCTAACGTTTTCCAGCTGGGTCACAAATACCTACACCTGTCAGAGAGATGTAGTGGAGTTGAAAGTTTTAGATCCAACAAACTGTGCTTATGTAAATGTACAGTAGCACTGCCCACGTCTGAGAGTGAGGAGTCCTGATTTCAGAATCGACTGTGTAGGAGAATCAGACAGAATTAGAGAGAAGCAGAAAGAGCGGCTGCAGAACATAACGATGGCTGTGAGACCTGTGTTTTATTAAAAGGCAGCGAGGAACAGAGGAGAGAGGGGGAAGCGAGGGAGAGACGCCTTGCCCATAGACTGTCTATTCTCATCCTTTCAGCCTGTTGTCATGTGTTTACACAAGCACCTCAGCATTCACTTTGTCAGCTGCCTCAGTAATTAGCTTGTGTTTTTACTTTGAATGTACATCTGCATGAACACAGAGGCTCAACCGGTCCACTGCATTTGCATACAAGCCCCCCTGCAGAGATGTTTAGAAAGCCCTGAATGGCCTCGTTCCACAGTAGGTGTTTGACACCCAGACCTCTCAGGTCATCTGGTCGTCAGGTCGTCTTCATTCTGTACAGAGGGTCAGTTTAAAGTCCGCTGACGCTGACTTTAGTTTTCAATGCTCCTAGTCTCTAGATTTCTTCAGGACTTCAGAATCTAAACTGTTGTCTTTCAATGATGCGTACTGCATCTTAGTTATTAAAGTGTTTGTACTTATTGCTTGTTGTAACTGAGTGGCTGTGAAGTATATGTGCATTTTCTCATTTTTGATTTCTAAAGCACGTTCTGGCGAATGGTTATTTTCATCATCGATTAATGCTGATTATTTTCTCGATTAACCGAGTAATCGTTTCATCCATAAAATGCCAGAAAATAGGGAAAGTGTCTGTAATAATTTCCCGGAGCCCAAGATGATGTATTTAGATAAATTATTTTATTCAGTTAACAGTTGAAACCAGTTGATATTCAGTTTATTATCATATATGTCAAATAAGAGCACCAAGTCCTTACGTTAGAGAAACTGCTCATTTTTTGGCAAATTAAAATCAAACGAGCACATTGAGTTTTCAGTTGTGTATTAACCATGCTTTATAAATAAAGCTTGCCTTTGCTTCTCTTGCCCATAAACAAACACTTTGTAAAAGCCAAAAGCCAACGGTCCTTTGTCACAAGAGATTAGCTGTGATGGTGGTTGGGGGTGTGTGACCTCCTTACATCCCCCCTCTGTTGCTGCGAGGCCGTCATAAGGATTTGTCGTGGTGTCTTTAAGCTTGTCAGAGCTAATAAAGACACTACCCTCATTAACACTGTTTGTCCTTTTCTCTCCTCCAGTCAGAAATTGGATTTGGGAAGCTGGAGACCTACATCAAACTGGACAAACTGGGGGAGGTACGTGAGAGTGTGTGTTCACGGTCATCCTCGAGTTTTCTTCCAGGTGCTAATGTTCTCATGCTGAGTGACATAACGGGCACAGACACAGTTTTAGAGTTTACTTTTGACCCCTGAAGGTCAGACTGCTCTGCATCAGTCCAGCTTTCTGTCCTCACCTCCTCTCCCTCTCCTCCTGTCCTCCAGGGCACGTACGCTACAGTCTTCAAGGGGAGGAGTAAACTGACAGACAACCTTGTGGCACTGAAGGAGATCAGACTGGAGCACGAGGAGGGGGCACCGTGCACAGCGATCCGAGAAGGTACGAAGGTTGACCACAAATTCCGCACAAGCCCCACATATCCACGTAGATGTGATGATAGATTATTTCCTTTTATGATAAGCAGCTGTCTCAGCCCGTCCATCACGGGGCAAGTTGGGGGGCAGTTGATAAAACACTGGCACATTTACTGCTGTAAGTTGACTTGAACAAGAACATTTTTAACTGGTGCACATATAAAAAAATAAAAAAAAGTTATCCCCCCCCCCATATAGGGAACAATGCCGTCATGCAAAGTGTGAAGTCTTCTGTTCACTTCCACTGCTTTGTCAATGTCACTGCGGTCTAACGTTGAGTCACAGTTTAGTGTTCATCTCTTTACATCTTTGACAGTCTGCACTGTCAGCTGATAGGAACACTGCTGCACTGTGTGTAGAGATGGAGAAGTAAATTACTTTTTACTTACTTACTACTGGACTGTACAGTTCGTAATTGCTCTGCTCAGTGCGATGTGACTTGGCCACACAGAGGCAGTTTTGTTGAAAGCAAGGTGAATGTGATGTTATCAGTGTGAGTCCTGTATTTTATGTTTTTATGTTTGGAACCTGATTGACTTGGAGGTTAGTTAAAGCTTTGTCTATAAGTCTGAGACATTGTGCATGATGTTAGGCTTTATAAATACACATCACTTGGCTTGATCAGTGTTAACCCAGTGACATCAGAGTCAGTTTAGTTGATGTGTTTGCAGTAAGTAATTATTTAAAAGATAAAAGAGACATGTTACTTAGAGGAATAAAAAGGACTGTGCTGGTGAGATTAAAAAAACACTTAATGGCTTATAAGATGTCACCAAAAAAGAGAAATGAAAATAGAAACAGTAACATCTAAAGTCACAGTTAATCCATTCAGAAAAACAAACACGACATAAAAAAGAAAAACGGAAAAGCAGGAATATTAAATATGTCAAACGCTAATAATAAGCAAACTCAGGACAAATGAGGCCACGAGATACAAAATTCAGAAAATAACTCAAGGATGTTACAAAGTTTAACACCGAACTGATTTTAAGTCAAAATTTAACGAGACACTGACTCAACCCTCAGAGAGCAGAAGAACCATTACATTAAAGTTCAGGAAAAAAATGGCCATCATCAATACTATGATAAGGAACTGAGCAAAGTAAACTTTACATTTTACGGTTGTTATCACATCCTCACTGTCACAACTGTCACCCCTTTCTTTTTCCTCTAGTGTCGTTACTGAAGGACCTGAAACACGCCAACATCGTGACGCTGCACGACATCGTCCACACAGACAAGTCGCTCACACTGGTGTTCGAGTACCTGGTGAGACCAACAAAGCCTCTGCCCTCACTTTCTGCATGACTCACATGTTCTTTTGCTAAAAATGAATCTATTTTACATCATTATTATTCATGACCCTGTGCATATTAGAGCCCGCTTACCAACTTTTGCTCTCTTTTCCCTCTCTCTCTCTCTCTCTCTCTCTCTCTCTCGTCCAGGACAAAGACCTGAAGCAGTACATGGACGATTGTGGGAACATCCTGAGCATGCAGAATGTCAAGGTGAGCCTCTGCAGGCGGCCTGCTGGCCTGGCCAGCTTCATCAACTTTCAAGACTTTGTCGTTGCTGCTGTCAGTACAAGAAACACTGTTAGATTGCCCCCTGGTGGTGGAGAGTGGACAGTGAAGGGGGCGGAGTGACATTTATTTTCTTAACCTTTTACACAAAAATCTATTTGAGTCGATTTGCACACGAGTTGTGTTTTAGTTACATCTGCTTTTTGAATGAGACTCAAAAAATGAAATGACATATTATTATATAAGAACAAATAAGAAAGTGCTTCATGAATGAGACAGCAACACATTTTGCTCCTGATACGAGGTTTCTTGCATAATCTAATACTCCAGAGGAAATTTGAGAAACTGCTGCTTAAGCAATCCAGAAATGGCATTTGTAATGTATGTTTTTTTTTATTCACCACAGAGTGGCTGTGTGGTGAATTCACCAATAAGATCATGATTACTCATCAGAAACATCTTTCTCCAGATTTTTCTGTTCCAGATCCTGCGAGGCTTGGCGTACTGTCACAGACGGAAAGTCCTTCACAGAGACCTGAAGCCTCAAAATCTGCTCATCAACGACAGAGGAGAACTCAAACTGGCCGACTTTGGTAAAAACAAAAACAGTCCTGATGTCAATGCTTCATCTGTTTATGATGGTTTTGTGACAGATTATCTTCCATTTAGACAAAGAGTGACACCTGCTTTACATTTGTTCAGCTGTGTTTGTCTATATTTTACTGATACTTCAGAACACATTTGAGCCATATTTTAAAATAGATGTATGTGTAGTATTCTGTAATGTGAATTTCTACTAAACATGTCCATTGGATCTGTTTTTATCTCTCATGTTTCTGCTCCACAGGCCTGGCGAGGGCCAAGTCTGTGCCCACTAAAACATACTCTAACGAGGTGGTAACACTTTGGTATCGGCCTCCCGACGTGCTGCTCGGCTCCTCTGAGTACTCCACACAGATAGACATGTGGTGAGTGGGCCTCACTCAACAGGGGTGATTGCAACTGTTAGAAAACACTGATCAGACTCCTGGCTACTCTCTCTTTATGCCCATATGACTACACACACCGAAGGTGCAGAGGCAAATAAAATCCTCAAGTACGAAGAATTCCTGGCCTGAATTTCTAATTTTACTAAATGATTTCAAGTCTGTAGTTGCTTCAGTGATTTTTTTAAATGAGCACAGATGTTTGGAGCTTCTTGCAGTTTGTCGACACTCTTCTGAGCAGACAGGTGTCCGAAGCTGCAGGAAGGAGACTTTGATGTGGCCCGTGCCGCTGAAGAACCCTCCCGAGCTGTTACGAAATTTGACTATAAATGGTATCCCCAAACTTCAAAGTGCCCTGCTGCTTTCTCAAATCAATTCCTGCTTCTGATATTTCATTCATCACACGGATAGAAACTGGCCGGTTAATGCACAATTCAGGGAGTCTGATCCGGAAAGTTAGAGGTAGTTAAACTGCAGAAGACCTGTTGAGTCAGATCAGTGTTGAAGCTTCACTCAGACATCTCTTCATGACCTAATCCCTCCTGCGTGTGTCCTCCTCTCAGGGGTGTGGGCTGTATATTCTACGAGATGGCTGCCGGCAGGCCCCTGTTCCCAGGCTCCACAGTGGAGGACGAGCTGCACCTCATCTTCAGGCTGCTAGGTCAGTGCTGCCCCCTGCTGACGGGGAAGCAGTCAAACTTTAAATATGAGCCTTTAATCGCATTAACCCTGGCATGTAGCCCCTGTGGCAGCGTGAAAAGCCCCTCCAGCTGCCGCGGTAAAGCCCGACTCTAACAGGGTTGATTGAATGTCCCTCCACAGGCACTCCAACAGAAGACAGCTGGCCTGGAATATCTTCTATCGACGAGTTCAAGTCCTACAAGTTCCCCAAATACAAGGCCCAGCCCCTTATTAACCACGCACCCAGGTAATACTGGCACATTCATACTCTATTGTCATTTCATCTTCCGTATATGGATTGTCTTTTTACGTCAGATATACTGTATTGTACCACAGCTTATACCACGTTTCATTTGGTTATGTCAAGTAAATATATATTTATATGTGTATTGACTGTTACACACTCTTAAAGTTACTCAACACTCCCCCTCACTTCTCTCGTTAGCCCTCTAATGATTGGAGATGGAAATGAGCAGTTGTTTCTGATCAGACCCAGGTATAAGAGAAGCTGCTGCTGTATGTAGAGCTTTTTAGTGAATTAGACATTAGTATTATTGGTTTGTTTAGTTGGCAGTGTGTGCTCTCTGTCGCTTCCTGTAAGGAAATCCTGTGGAACAGTTGACTATTTCCTTCCTTACACTCGCCAGCATCTGTGAGTCACCCCCACCTCTACTGACCTCCCGCTCCCGCTCTCTCTCTCTCTCTCTCTCTCTCTCTGTCTCCCCCTCCCTCCCTCCCTCCCTCCCTGCAGGTTGGACACTGATGGCATTGACCTGCTGATGTCATTCCTAAAAGTGAGTCTCTCAGTATCTGTCAGGCATTAATGCCACGTCAAAAACAGTGCGACACATGTTGCAGCTATGTTAGAGCTGTATTTTTGGAAGGAAATGCATCAAGGCACGCCGGGTCATTCACATGCGATCACACATTGCTTAACCCTGTTTTTTGTTGTTGTTCTTTAATGGCTGTGCGTTTCTTTTTACTACCCTAAATTTCAGTACGAGTCAAAAAAGAGGATCTCTGCTGATGAAGCAATGAGACAGTCGTACTTCAGGAGCCTGGGGCCACGTGTGCACACACTGCCAGAGAGTGAGTAATGAAATGGCAACGCAGTAATGCAGACTTGGCAGGCTCCGCTAGGTACAACTTGAAGGATATTGCAGTGTACAGTGAGGATCAGTTACAGCCTCATAACAAAGACATTATTGTTCTGGCAAGATGTGATTTTCTGCTGCACTGACTGACTCTTTATCTTTGGCAGACATATCCATATTCACACTGAAGGAGGTGCAGCTGCAGAGAGATCCCGGCTACCGGAACTCGTCGTACCCCGAGTCAGGTGAGGAGTAACGCAAGAATGGATCCTTTGATTGCTTGTTTTCAAACTGTGAGGCTGGGAGAGTTGAAGTGGGGGGCGTGGAGGGAAAGACGTGAGGACAGGTGCATAAGTTAGTTTTTGTAGTTTGGCCCACTAATCCACACGGTCAGCAGTGACTGGGACACACACACAGCTCATGGAGGCAATTGTGCAAGTGTCCGACTATGAAAAGCTCTGCTGTAAACTTAAATAAAAACAGACAAAAACAGCAAAATTTATGCTTCTCCTTTTTTTTTCCCCCTTCAGGCAACGGAAAGAGCAGAAGACAAAGCATGCTGTTTTAGACTCTCTGGACTGGGTTTTTTTTTTTTTTTTTATTTGGGAAGGATCTCCTAGCTGTATGGCCTCGCTGATGGATCAGTAACCTGAGATGGATGTTGGCGTGGAGCATCATCACCACCACCATCATCATCATCATCATAATCATCATCACCCCACCCCCACCCCCACCCCCCAAACTACTTGGGAAACTCGTCCACAGTGCGACTCCCTCCCAGGTTTGGCCTGAACCTGGCCCAAAAGAGACATTTATATACTGTACATCTATATTTATTGAGAAGAGAATTTGCTGCTAAATCCAACTACTGTCTAGAATTCTAACAGGCTCAGTCACTTTAATAAGAACATGCAATGTATATAGATTTTTAATTATTTTTTTTCTTGAAGTGGTGGTATTTTTAGTGATATATTTTTTGTCATCATTTCCATTTTCATACATAAAAAGTCCACCTCAGAGCTCCTCGGTGTGAGTGGGTGTGTAAAGCACACCAGCTGACAAACAGAGGGATGTTTCTGTAGCAGCTCAAGAGGGTTTGATCATGTCTCAGTTGCCACGGTGCTGCTCTTAGCTGCACAAATCATTTGTGACCATTTACTCTGAAGGTTTCTGAGGCCAGCTTTGATGTAATAACTCAGTTTTATCCTAACTGGAGGCTAATACGAGAGCAGTGCTGCCAAGCTCTGTGCAAAAAAAGGAAAAAAGATCGTTTTTGTCAGATGCTGGCAAATCATTCCAGGATGCTGTGGTCTCTGTTGTGACCAATGAACAAATGCAGGAGGAAAAGAGCAACATGGAATTATTAACAAGGGCATTACAGGATTAGATACGCCTCCTAAATTCTTCAGAAATCCTAAATATTTAACTAGTTGAACAACCTCCTCGTCATTGTTCTTCCCCGCCTCAATCTGACACATTCTCTCCTCCGGTCTGTTACTAAGAGGAGGTGCAAAGTAAATTCCCCGTGTTGGAATCTGCTGCCTTTTCAGATGTGTCCTCCTTTCTGCCATTCCCATCTCCATCAACTGTAAAAAAAAAAAAAAAGGGTCCTTTTTTTTCTGGATTGCCTCCCTCATTGTGTTGCATGCCTGCTCTGTTGTATGAGGAAGCACACAGCCACTGAACTCCTGATTCAGGGAGCACTAGCTATAGTCCTGCCCCTCGTGAATAAGATACTGAGTCAGTCTATTTAACAGTGTTACAAGAGATGTTTTGTATGACATTCTTTAACTTTATTTGTGGATAATTGTTATTGGTGTGGGATTTCATTGCAGATGCCCTCCCATATTTGAGCTTTTTTTTTTCCAGAGTAAAGAAAATTAAATCTAAAGTTTAAACAGAATTCACATGAACTGGTTTGGATTTTTTCCCCCTGGTGTCACATTTTGATTTAGCTGTTGTACAAACTTGAAGCACCTGTGTTCAAGCATTCAATGCTTTGTTTATTGAAAATAACAAGACATTCTTCACAATACAAAAAAAATATACAGAATACACACTGTATACCAAGTCCAGTATATAAAAAAAAAAAAAAAAGAACATTACAAGCGTTACAAAGGTTTTTCATTGATTTGAAATCTCGTCTTCATTAAAAGATTTTGAAATAAAGAGAAAAATAGGACAACAAGGCACAGCGGTACTATCTGAGAAGCATAGTGCATACATTACATACAATACCAACAAGTACAACACGAAAGTGAACAACAAGTTTCACATTGTGATGAACATTTAAGAATTTTTTTATTTTTGTATTTATTTTATTTTTTTTTACAAGATTAAAACAACCAAGCTCTCTCGCACAGAATGAGCGGCCGGCTAGCTTTTTGCAGCTAGCTACGCATCACTACTGTCCATCATGGACAGGTCATGTGGAAATGTGCTGTATTTTATCACAAAGAGCCAGACGCCTCATAGACATCGTGGCATATGGCTTTTACCAAGTGCTTTCACCCACTGGAATCTGAAGCAACTCAAGTGCAAAAAAGAAAAAAAAAAAAAAAGTGAGGTCACATACCGTCTCGTAGGACGTTTCTGAAGCAAATTTTGACAAGACGGAGAACAGATCACTGCTGCTGATGATAATGACTTTGAGAAACTTTCAACAAGAGATGGATGAAGATGACAGGTTTTTCACAGATCCTGGATCAGGATTTGTGGGTGGTGGGGGACAGGAGCAGGGAGGAGGGTGTTCCTTCCAGGTTTGGCAGAGGGACAGGCATGTGTCCGTTGATTAGGCTGGGGAACTGTGGAGGAAGAGAAAGGGGCTGAGAGTTAGTGAGGAGGGGACGGAGGCTCTATGAAAGCTGCTTTCCGGTGAGGAACAGCAGCATTGTCACTGCTCCGGTTTCCTGTTTTTTTTTTTTTTTTTAATTCATTGTGCCTCTTCCTTTTCTTCTCTGTCCCCTGCACCTCCACAACAGAAGGAGAAGTCAACATTATTTGTGCACAAAGAATTCGGTATGGTGTGTGTGTTCCTGTGAAGTGTGTGTGTGTGTGTGTGTGTGTGTGTGTGTGTGTGTGTGTGTTTCACAAATGAGGAGCAGCTCTCAAACCAGTCCACCCTGTTCAAACTGGCTCCCCTGGGTTCAAACAGGAAGTATTCACAGGATTTCCTCTCTCTCTCACAAGCGCTGAAACAGGACACCTCTGCTGGACCTGCTCACTAAGTCAACTCGTTTCACCACCCTTGGCGTGTGCCATTTTGCAGATCTCAAAAACATCTTGTTTTATATATACTTTGTCAAGTAAATACCTACTTGAAAAATGCCAATTCTATAAGATCAAGGCCCATTCTACTTTAAATTGCCACTTAAATGTAAGGACATTATAAAGGGGCAATGTCAAAGAATATTTCATAAAGGATATAAGAACAAATCATTTGGAAAAACTGTAGCCAATCATTTTATTACTTCATAAAAGATGAACCAGTGTTGTGTGTCAGAAGTTGGTTCATCTAAATCTCTTCAAAAATCTTCCTGTTGACAACAACTGCTGGGAAGAACGGGGATTTTGCCACAGCACTAATTTCACCTGCACAGTCTCACAACTTCCTCCTCGGCTTTACAACCAGGGAACAATAATCCTTTCGACACACCTTCTGTTCTCATCTCTTGCTATTTTTGTCCCTCTCCCTTTCTCTCTGCGTACACACCTTAGTGTGTGTTTCTTACCTGGAAAAGGGAACTGTGGCCCTGCAGCCGGGCGGGGCTGAGCGGGGCGACGGGGCTCAGGCTGCTCCAGAAGTGGATGCCTGACAACAGCGGACTGTGAGCCAGTAACAAACCAGAGGGAGTCTGTGAAGGGGGAACACAGAGGAAGAGCGTGAGGGAGGCTTCGTGTAAATAAGAGAAACCAGTGAAGACAACATTTTAAAAAAAAAAAAGACAAACAGAGATCGACTGGTTGAAGAGCATTTCTCTCAGGGCTCTGGTAATACGAAACATGCTGAAATGGTAAATGGACGCGTATTGGCGTTTGGAAAAATAAACTGACGGAGCAGGAAGGAAGTCTGTGGTTTCTCCCCCAGAATACAGGGGTGACGTGGGGAGGAGAGGAGGTGGACGGTGGGGGTTGTTTTAGATTTTGAGGGGGGGGGGGTCCTGAAGCACTTGGAACGCCAACTAGAGAGAAAACATATGAAATCAATTTCTCCCTCTCTCCCCTGGTCTCCTCTCCACCTCCCCCCTGCTTTCCCCTGTGTCACCTCAGAGAAGTGAGCCAGTGTTGCGGAGGGACCAGCCCTGCTCCCATTATTAATGGAATTATTGGAGCATATGGCATCACTTAGGGCCTCTTCCCTGCTCGCATAAGTTGGAGAAGATTTCTGTAAATCGCTTGTTTTCCTCTGATCCCACTTTTTGCGCCTTGATAAACAGACAGTGTGAGTGCAGTATTAATCCCTCTTAATGTCTGGATAAACCTCTGACATGGAAGAGTGATTTTTTTCTCTGTAGCAAGTCCAATGTAAACACATTATTAACTGAAAGAGATTATTAAATACCAGTCGATGCTGGTGGCTCAGCCTTCAGGGTTATGGCAAAGATCAAAACGTCACAGATGAATTTGTGGCAGAAAATACAAATAAATTGCGCCGTAGACCCGAGTCCATCTTCTAGCAGGTACGTTGTTTAAGCCTGGACAACCGAAAGAGGTAAAAACTACTGAATTTCCTGCATTTCACATGAGCATATTCACATTTTACAAACACCTCTATGTCTCACTTTGCTCTGAGTGTAGACATATTTCTACAAAGTCTGTTATTTGGAGCACATAAACATTCTGGCAGTAATTTCCCAAACCGAACACAAACAATGACTCATTAAATTAGTCGAAATTTTCTTTTGTTCAAAACTATGTAAAAATTCCTGTGCCCTTGCACATTTTACCCTCACATCCTACCCCCTTTACCTTTCCCATACCTTTCCCTCTGTTTCTAACCAATTTTGGCTCAAATGACGACTTAAATATAGCGGTAGTGTTTCCAACAACACATGCCAGCTTGTGTCAGATGTCTGTTGCTGCTCTCTGAATACTTAGGGACACTGACATCATCTCCCCATCGCCAGCCAGACCACTGCACAGAGGGGACGGAAACAGATAGCATCACAGAAATGATTCTCTTTCTTTCTGAGATTTGATTATTATTGGGCTAGCTGTGCTTCAGCTGAGGCCGGCAGAGAGACATGAGCTCTAGTTTGTCTTAAATTATTGAGAGCAGAAATAAGAGAACTTGTAAAAATGTGTCGTAGGGGCAGCAGTGGGGATGTGTAAACATGGCATGACGAAGCACGTTTTAGAGCAATCTCAGGTGAGTGCGCAGCGTACCATGCCATCGGTAATTAAGAGTATTGATTTGATCCCGACATACACTACAGGTCCAAAGTTTTAGAACATTTTCTAGTTGTTACTGAAATTTACAGTGTAATGTCTCAGTGTTTCTGAAATGAACACATAGCGAAAAAAAACAAGGAATCGTGGAATCATAAATCCTATATTCAATCTGAAGTTTTGACTCATTCAGCAGCTGA